TAAATAAAGTATATCTTGTGTAGATATGCAACGTATTGTATGCAACGCAAGCTATAAATGTATTCATTTCTGTCCTGTCTAAAGATGAAAATTTTGAAACTTGCTCGACAGTCACATTATAAAATCGGAAATAATCCGGATTATTTTTATTGTTCCTCAGAGGCTGGTCAACGCGGGTCACCCCGGGTGAGTTCCGAACAACGAAAATTTATGAATTAATTTACTTTGGGTGCATTCCGTTTCACGCAATTAATGCAATAAAATTAATTTCTACTTACGTGAACAAAATATATCACAGGTATTGTTCGATAAATCAATCAATTGATCAAACAATTGATTGCCATGAAATCAAACGGATCGAGCGAAAATACGCGATACTATCGAAGTTCGGCACTCCCGGTCGCGTGTCGCTTCGATTCCTGCGAAAGAAAAAATCGTGCCAAGTACGTACCCGCTTAAGGGGATCCTATAGCGAAGGCCGAACTTCCTCGACGTCGGTAATGTCAACATTTCTAATTCTGTTTTCTATGTTATATATCTATGTCCTTGTCTAACCAGAGGCATCTGTCTTTGTTCGATTGCTGCGCCATCTCTCGCTACACGCAATACTGCTTATCCTGTCAACCTAAATGTGCTTTTGCTTAATAAAACTTCATTTTACGGAATCTTTTTTTCTAGACGTTGAATCTTAGTTTTATTTACACGATATTGTTCCTACATGTTGTCCCTACGTCGCCTTGGTGTCATTATATATATATAAACTGCAGTAATTTTGTTATTGTTGTCAGATGACAGTTGTATGTGCCCAAATTAGTAAAATTTTTAATTTTTTTTTGTTCCCGATATGAAATCGTACAACGCGATGTAGATTTTTGTGCGTACTTTAATTCTAGACCAAAAACTTGCAATTCTGTAAAGCCAATTCAAAAATTCCTTAAAATGAAAAAATGTCGGTAACTACCGCCACTATAGGATCCCCTTAACCAAGTATTTATCACCCGCGCGATATTCGATACCCGCGCGAATCACTAAACGTAAAAGTTAGTTAATGGCGCGGGAGGTAACTGCACGCGATGAACGGTCAAGAAATCCTATCGGCGCGTCGCGACGCACGGAACGATTTTGCGCAGCCTGCCGCGATGACTTTTGTTCTCGTACAGCGATTTCACGTGAACAAAGCGCGCCGCGCACAAAAAACAAAACCGAAGCCGCGTGTCAGTCCCGATATCATTACTCAAAATATTTTAACACTTATTTCCAGCCATAGATTTATCGTGCAAATTTGAAGAAGTTGCGACAGTTATTGCGACACCGATTGTCCCGATTCGTTCCGTGTTTACCGCGTGAATGGCGACGAAAGATATGTGACGATGCCGGCAACTTGGCGCGATACTACGCGAGTCAAGAGTGGACGGTTAGTAAAGACACTCGCTAGTTGATTGATCAAAAATGCACGAATAAAATTAAATGTCGCACGCGCAGTACGTATATATATATCGAACTCGTAACTCTCGCGAATAAATATGTTCTCTTCGATGTCAGTAAGAAAGAAAAGAGATCTTAATTAATATATATATCAGAGAAAACTTATATATATTTAAATAACTTAATTCCTTCGAACTTAAAATTATGCATGCTCATCAATATTTTCTTTAACTTTACCCGGGATTTGCATGCGTAGTTCCCTGACTTAATCATGAATCACCCTGTATAGGTATTCCATTATTTGGCCCCAGTCGCGGTTAAGAGTATAGCCACGAGTGCGAATGAAAATTACATAGCCGAGCCACATGCGTTCTCCGTGTATCTCTTCTTTTTCTTACAACCTTTCCGCCTCCGTTGTGCCTCTTTAAATGAAATCTGCTTTACAACGATGCAGTTAACGTGCCGCTGCACGCGACGCTGTCGGCGAGAATCGGCGCGAAGCGGCAGCCCAGACGAATATGAAAAGAAAAGTTCGTAAGTGTAGTGAAAGAAAGTGAGAAAAAGAGAGAGAGAGAGAGAGAGAGAGAGAGTCGAATTATGTGCTGCTTTTGTTTTCCGTATCAAGCGAATAATTTATTGGTTGAAAACGAACGAGTGGCAAAGACGACAAATTTTTACGTCAAAGATTCTTTCAACACTATCGCGATCGTTTAAGGAGAATTAAATCAAGGCAATATCGGCTGTCGATTATTTTAATATTAAGAATGTTATAGACCTTCTGAGCATTTTCAATTCCACGATTTTAACTTGTGTATGTATTTCGTTTTATAAGCCACTCCATAAAAGCCTTCAATTGCATAAACGTAATCGCTCATTTATATTTACGGGATACCTTTTGGGGTAAGAAATCTGCGGAATGCGAGCGAGCATTTGCGATGAAAGGTTCGGCTGACGAGTATCGAGAATGGAAACAATCTGTATCTATTATTCATGACGGCCAGCGTTCGATATGAAATTATAATCGACCATTCGTGCGTCAATCGACCAAATTGGCCCATAGCTCCCCTCAGATCTCAGATCCCCGCGCGCACAACGGCGGAAAAATGGGCGGAAGTGCCATTTATGAATCCGAAACAAAGGCAACAAACGATTTAATCGCGGCAAACAGGATGGTACACGCGCTATTTGTTTTCAACGTCGGAAAATATTCCTATAAACCGATACTTTTGCTCCCCTACATACGTAAATACGTTTTTTCTTTTTCGCGTTGATATAATATACCTCGTACAGTATAACTTCGTACGTATAACTGTCGTAATTGAGTTTAAATAGTGTTATTATAAATTAAAGTTTTCTTCTATTTTTAAATTATTATACATATGTACTAGATGTTATACATATTTTCTTATTCCTGCCAATAAATCTACAAGCTTAAATTACTAATTTCTAATTTCGACGCTGACAATTGAATTAAAAAATAAAAATAAATTAATTTTATTGCCTTTACACGTTGATAATTCGGTGCTGTACGTACTACAGTATTACGGTATTTATAGCATTCTATAATAATATCATGGCGAAATCTGTCATTCATGCTAGTTTATAGATATGCAGCAACAATAAAAATGCTCATTATTGAAGACCAAAGTTTGACTCTTAAAATGTATAACAAAATTTTGAATAAAATTTTAACATATGTATATACATACTACATGTATCGATTAAATAATCGAGAAGCAGCAACAAGAACTTGTCTAAATTCTAAATGCATTTTCACGTCGTGCCATACATCAAGCACAGAACGATAAAAACACAATCGCGCAAAAATCGCGAAGAATACGTTTTGTTCCACTCTGTAAATTTTCTTTGAGAAAAGGACGTCGTTCAGTGACACATTTTATGGATTTACTTGATTCTAATACGCATCGCTCGCCAGTAATCAAAGTCCCCCGTTAGGGCTCTCATTAGGCCAGGATTAGTGATGATATCTCTTGCTAAGGGCCAGTTTCACAAGTGTCGGTTAACTTTTAATCTTAGATTAACTTACTCTTCGTCTTTTTCTAAGGGGGACATTAGAAGGAGACGAAGAGTGAGTTAATCTAAGATTAAAAGTTAACCGACACTTGTGAAACTGGGTCTAAGAGCATCAAGTGTGTTTATGCGACTGCGGATTTAGCAACCGGCTGAGAAATTGCGCATAACGAGGAGAATAATTATATTAATAACACATAACGGGTCAGTAATCAATATATACGACTCATATAATATCCTGCCCTGTCAATATATATGACTTAAACACAACGTTGTAATATAATTATTTATAAATAATCGTGGATAAAAATCACAACAGTAGGCATCTCCTTAGAGTTTCCATGTATACAATACACAAGTATTTGAAAAAGTCGGAGTACTATTACGTACAACAGCATATTCTTGAGACCAAATCATTACCTTAGCCAGGATTCGAACCTGGAATTTCCCTCATTCCGCGAAGGGTGTCGTAGGTTTTTCTTTTTTTCTTTTATTTCACGTCGCCTGAGAAAGACGTTTCAAACTATTATTAACCGGTTATTGCGGTAAATATTACCACATGCCTCAGTAGTCGAATAATTGTTATACGATATACCTTATCAGCCGTAACCCGGTACATAGCCGGATTTTCCATTTTGGCTTTTAAAAATTTATAGTAAATAAAATACGGAGTTAAAGTGCAGTTTAAAGTGCACTTATTAGTGCATAAAGTGCACCTAAGTGCACCTGAGTTCGGCCGTCACTCCTGTCGACCCTTAAGCGTCTTTCTGTCTTCGTTGCACATCGAATATCAAACAAAAATGGAGCGATGCCTTTTAGTACTGAAAGCGTAAAAAGAAACGCAGCCACAACTGGCAAATGCTGAATTACAGCCGCCCGGAATCTGAATTGTGTTCGTGTTGGAACTTCGCCCCGGGTAAGTTCCGAACAACGAGAATTCATGAATTAATTTACTCACGGACGCCGTAGACCCACATATACAACTAGAGGGTTAATAAAATGTACGAATAAGCGTGTATAATCCATGTGATTCAACGACGAAAGGTAATCCAACGTTTTATACGCACCATTCAAAACTGCTAAACGCGTGCTTCTCTTAATGCTGATTTGTTATTGTTAATTGTTAGTCGTGTGCGTAGCAGAACGGGCGGCGCAAAACGCTGGCCTATTTCTTCTCGTGCGCTTATCGAAATTTTCGGAGAACCGAATGCTTCATATCTCTTCTACGCAAACCTACACTTAAAAAATAGAGGCAGAAGAAAAGATCATACATAATATCCAAGAAAGCAGTGAAAAATCAAGATTTTATTTATATTAAGTACATTTTGAGTATATTAAGACAATAAATAATATATTGTAAAATGTATAATTTTCAGAAATAAATTAATTCGATAACAATATTGAATTAATTAAGATTTAATTTAAGACAAAATTAGATTAAGATAAGCGGAATTTGCAGCAGCAGTTCACGTGATATATATTTTTTCTCTTATTTATTACGCACATATCTCCGCTTATCAATCGCTTATTTGTTTGCTTTCACGCTCAACTTGCGTATCATTCGCACAGAGTCTTACACAAGTGGTGAAAGGATTGCGTAGAATTACTGCTGAATAAAAAGTTATTTCATACAATATTACATTAACTATATAGAAGACGGAAAAACATTTTAACAGATTTCTCAACTGTAATTTTCAGCAGAAAGAAGTACCAATATTAAGAGACATAAAAGGAGACAAATTTGAAGATTCTACTGTGAGGAAAGATGTCGTCCGACGAAAGCAATTCTACTTTTTATAAGAAGAAACATAATATAAGTGAAAGTAATGTGGACTCAATAATTGATCTGGAAGTACGGACTCACCAGTCGACGGCTTCTTCTTCGTCATCTTCCTTTTCTTCTTTTTTCGATAACTTGGTCCGAATATGCGAGGTCCGAAATACGCAAGGTAATTGCAGTACTATGTATGCATGTGTGTGCGTGACGTGTATGTGTGTGCTCGCACCCGCGCACGCATGAGCAAAGAAGGAAGTATTTTCGTTAAAAAAAAAGTACGTATAATATACATAAAATGTTCTGGCCCTGATAGATTACAAAAAATATAAATAATTGTTCTTAAAAGAAATTAAATTGTAAAGAATTTACCGTCACTTTATTCAAATTTCTTTAAAGACTTGCAAATAAAAGAGCAGACTCTTAATATTATCTGAACAATAGTGACGAGATTAAGTGCCTAAAAGTTATGAAAGAAGGATTCCATGTTTATATCTCAGAGTCGCCGAAGAATTGCTATAAATACGATGAATAGCCATGCGATGTAATTATTGCAAAATTAGTACATGTCCCATTTATATTGACAGTGTCCCAATTTATGACAATCTCACTCGTTTTCTTTAATAAATCAGATAATAAATACGGATCCAATATTTTGTTATTCTAAACATGTATTCAACACGTAAACAAAATCAATTTTGTATACTTTGTTTAACATGTATATCATTAATTAATTAATTTATTATCATGATGAGGTTCCTTGGGCATTTGCAACATTTTAAGGAGGTGTGTTGAAAGCCCAGTCCGTTTGTATATGATCAAAGAAGAGGCCCTTTTGTATGGTCATGATATTATTTTTCGTGAACTACTTAATTCACGACCCGAAGTAACCGGTAAGATGATTCTGGAAGTCTGCCGACTACTGGAGATATCGCCGCTAGAAATCGACAATCAGTTGGAGTATATAAAGCTGATCCTGGAACGAGGATTTAGGAAAACCATGGATGTTTGTTCTGTTAATGGTGATTATACATATATATATCGACAAGTATACAATTATACAAGTATAATAGTAAAAACAATAAAAGAAATAACATTTCTTAAAAAACATAAATTTTTTACAAATATTTGAATTATGATTTCGTCTTCTAGGCATTTCGTCTTTAGATCATTTAATAATGATCAAAAAAGAGGCCCTTTTGTATGGTCATGATATTATTTTTTGTGAACTACTTAACTCACGACCCGAAGTAACCGGTAAGATGATTCTGGAAGTCTGCCGACTACTGGAAATATCGCCGCTAGAAATCGACAATCAGTTGGAGTATATAAAGCTGATCTTGGGACAGGAATTTAGGGAAACCGTGGATGTTCGTTCCGTTGATGGTGATTATATACATATATCGACAAGTATAATAGTACAAACAATAAAAGATAGCATTTCTAAAAAAATATAAATTTTTTACAAATATTTGAATTATGATTTCGTCTTTTAGGCGCTTTAGCAGATTTGAATATGATAAAAAAAAAGACCCTTTTGTATGGTCATGATATCATTTTTCGTAAACTACATAACTCATGGCCCGAAGTAACTAATAAGATGATTCTGGAAGTCTGCCGACTACTAGAAATATCACCACTAGAAATCGACAATCAGTTGGAGTATATAAAGCTGATTTTGGGACGGGGATTTAGGAAAACCATGGATGTTCGTTCTGTTGATGGTGATTATATACATATATCGACAAGTATAATAGTACAAACAATAAAGAAACAGCATTTCTTAGAAAACATAAATTTCTTACGAATAACTGAATTATGATTTCGTCTTTTAGGCCCTTTTGCACATTTGAATATGATAAAAAAAGAGGTCCATGGTCATGATATCATTTTACGTGAACTACTTAACTCACGACCCGAAGTAACCGGTAAGATGATTCTGGAAGTCTATTTTAATGACTGTATTCAATTAAAGAACGAATGTACGGTCGAGTTCGACTATCGTTGTTTGATGTGGCACGAAAATTTCACTGAACAGCAGGAAATTTCGCGAGCGTCCTGTGAAATGGAAGTAATTTTGTATAACGACACTCTCAAACATTTGTTGAGACATCCGTTAATCTCGTCCTTTCTCAACATTAAATGGTACATGATACGGCATGTTTTGTACGCAAATTTCGTTTTTTTACACAATGTTCTATTTCTTCGTGAACGCCTACATACTAAGCATGACTTACGACACAAGTAGAAATAGACAACAAGTAGCTAACGATAGTTTCTACGGTTTTTGCATGTACTTTTCAAAACAATCTATCGTGGATTTTTGCCATGGGGATGTTGCTGCTCTTCACCTCCCGAGAGATCTTACAATTTATCTCCTATCCTCAACGCTACTTTGGTAGATTTGGAAAACTGGTCGCAAGTTCTGCTAATTGTATTGACTCTTGCACTGTTGTGTGGCACAGGACTGCAAATTAGAGTCATGGTTATCCTGCTGTTCACCTGGGAGCTAATGACTCTAAAATAAATTTCTTACAAATATCTGAATTATGATGTCGTTTTTTAGGCGCTTTAGCACATTTGAAAATGATTAAAAAAGAGGCCCTTTTGTATGGTCATGATATCATTTTTCGTGAACTACTTAACTCACAACCCGAAGTAACCGGTAAGATGATTCTGGAAGTCTGCCGACTACTGGAAATATCGCCGCTAGAAATCGACAATCAGTTGGAGTATATAAAGCTGATCCTGGGACGGGGATTTCGGAAAACCATGGATGTTCGTTCCGTTGATGGTGATTATATACATATATCGACAAGTATAATAATACAAACAATAAAAGAAATAACATTTCTTAGAAAACATAAATTTTTTATTAATATTTGAATCACGATTTCGTCTTTTAGGCATTTCGTCTTTAGCACATTTGAATATGATAAAAAAAGAGGCCCTTTTATATGGTCATGATATTATTTTTCGTGAACTACTTAACTCACGACCCGAAGTAACCGGTAAGATGATTCTGGAAGTCTGCCGACTACTGGAAATATCGCCGTTAGAAATTGACAATCAGTTGGAGTATATAAAGCTAATCTTGGGACGGGGACTTAGGAAAAACATGGATGTTTGTTTCGTTGATGGTGATTATATACATATATCGACAAGTATAATAGTACAAACGATAAAAGAAATAGCATTTCTTAGAAAACAAATTTCTTACAAATATCTAAATTATAATTTCGTCTTTTAGGCATTTCGTCTTTAGATCATTTAATAATGATCAAAAAAGAGGCCTTTTTGTATGGTCATGATATTATTTTTTGTGAACTACTTAACTCACGACCCGAAGTAACCGGTAAGATGATTCTGGAAGTCTGCCGACTACTGGAGATATCGCCGCTAGAAATTGACAATCAGTTGGAATATATAAAGCTAATCTTGGGACAGGAATTTAGGGAAACCGTGGATGTTCGTTCCGTTGATGGTGATTATATACATATATCGACAAGTATAATAGTACAAACAATAAAAGATATAGCATTTCTTAGAAAATAAAGTTTCTTACAACTATTTGTATTACGATTTCGCCTTTTAGGCGCTTTAGCAGATTTGAATATGATCAAAAAAGAGGCTTTTTTGTATGGTCATGATATTATTTTTCGTAAACTACGTAACTCATGGCCCGACGTAACCAATAAGATGATTCTGGAAGTCTGCCGACTACTAGAAATATCACCACTAGAAATCGACAATCAGTTGGAGTATATAAACCTTATCCTGGGACGGGGATTTAAGAAAACCATGAATGTTCGTTCCGTTGATGGTGATTATATACATATATCGACAAGTATAATAGTACAAACAATAAAAGAAACAGCATTTCTTAGAAAACATAAATTTCTTACAAATATCAGAATTATGATTTCGTCTTTTAGGCGCTTTAGCACATTTAAAAATGATCAAAGAAGAGATCCTTTTGTATGGTCATGATATTATTTTTCGTGAACTACTTAACTCACGACCCGATGTAACCGGTAAGATGATTCTGGAAGTCTGCCGACTACTGGAAATATCGCCGCTAGAAATCGACAATCAGTTGGAGTATATAAAGCTAATCCTGGGACAAGGATTTAGGAAAACCATGGATGTTCGTTCCGTTGATGGTGATTATATACATATATCAACAAGTATAATAGTACAAACAATAAGAGAAATAGCATTTCTTAGAAAACATAAATTTCTTACAAATATCTGAATTATGATTTTGTCTTTTAGGCGCTTTAGCACACTTGAATATGATCAAAAAAGAGGTCCTTTTGTATGGTCATGATATCATTTTTCGTGAACTACTTAATCCACGGCCCGAAGTAACCGTAGTAACCCGAAGTAAGATGATTCTGGAAGTCTGCCGACTACTGGAAATATCGCCACTAGAAATCGACAATCAATTGGAGTATATAAAGCTGATCCTGGGAAAGGGATTTAGGGAAACCATGGATGTTCGTTCCGTTGATGGTGATTATATACATATATCGACAAGTATAATAGTACAAACAATAAAAGAAATAGCATTTCTTAGAAAACATCTTACAAATATTTGAATTATGTGATTTCGTCTTTTAAGCGTTTTTTGAAAAATTTGTACAGATATTCTGTATCAAAATTTTTTATTTTGCAGGTTTAGGCAATACGCCGTTGCATTACGCTCTCGAGAGAAATTGGTACGAAGCTGCAACTCTACTTCTCAAGCAAGGCAGTTACCTCGGTCAGGTGAACAAATTCAACAACATTGTTATCGCGAATATTCCAGAATTCATATTGTCCAGCTATTTTAATGACTGTATTCAATTGAGAAAAGAATGGACGGACGGTTGTACGATCGAGTTCGACTATCGTTGCTTGATGCCGTACGAAAATTTCGGTGAACAGCAGAAAATTTCGCGAGCGACCTGTGAAATGGGAGTAATTTTGTATATCGCCAATAACGACGCTCTGAAACATTTGTTGAGACATCCGTTAATCTCGTCCTTTCTTTACATTAAATGGTACATGATACGGCATGTTTTTTACGCAAATTTTGTTTTTTACACAATGTTCTATTTCTTCGTGAACGCCTACATACTAAGCATGACTTACGACACATCAAGTAGAAATAGACAGCAAATAGCTAAAGATAGTTCTAATACATTGCAAAACAATCTATCATTTTTGGCCATGGGGATGTTGCTGCTCTTCACTTATCGAGAGATCTTGCAATTTTGCCCCCATCCCGAACACTACTTGGCAGATTTGAAAAACTGGTCACAAGTTCTGCTAATTCTACTGACTTTTGCACTGCTGTGCGGCGCAGGACGGCAGATCTGGGTCATGGTTATCCTGCTGTCCACCTGGGAGCTAATGACTCTGATAAGCCATCATCTGTTTCCGTCTTGTATCGAAATGTTTCGAACTGTCTTCTCCAATTTCGTTCGCTTTTTCTTCTCGTATCTGATTCTGATCCTCGCATTCACTATAGCTTTCAACATACTCTTGAGAAATGACGGTTTCTCTGATTCCGGTCTTTCGCTTTTCAAAACCATCATTATGTTCACCGGCGAGTTTGACGCCAATGACATTTCTTTTTCTGTGTATCCTGTCTGGAGCCGCATTGTGTTCGTGCTGTTCATCTTTTACATAGTCATCGTGCTGTTTAATTTGCTTAATGGTTTGGCAATCAGCAACATTGCCGAGATTCTGAATAAGGCCGAGATTATCGGACTAATCTCCCGGGTACGCCTGGTCGCTTGTTTCGAAAAAATGACAGTCGGGAAACCGTTCTGCTGGAATTCTAAATGGACGTGGTCGAATCCTTTTAATTTCTTTTCCAAAAAGGTTCTTCTCTTTCCACATTACCTCAAATGCGGTAAGATAAGTTTCAAACCTTACGATGATAATCTGATTGTTTATGATGGCGATAGGCATAACGTTGATGGCTATTCCATGGATTGGTCCACTTTGAAAATGGATCCTAACATAGTCAAACATGCTAAGCAGGTTGTCTACGAGAAGAATGAACTGTCGAATAACGATATAATGAATGAACTTGCTAAGTTTCAAACAAGATTGACACAGATAAAAGTTACTTTGAGATGTGAATATAATGCTGAAGAAAACATTATTTAAAATTAAATTTGAGAGGCTTTCTTAAGTAAGTGCTTAAGTAATAAAATACATGTAAAATGAGAAGATTATATAAAAGATATAATAGTATTTTTTAATCAATATGTAGAAATTAAGAAATGGAATAAAATAATAGATAGGAGAGAGAGAGAGAGAGAGAGAGAGAGATTATAAATGTAGAGAAGATCACAGAAACGGTAATCTTAATTGACACAAGTATAAGCGTCACTTTGAAACATTGAAGATTTAAGAGTTAGAAGAATTATTTGAATCTATATGTGTGACATAACAAGATTATTTTTTTACAAAACTTACAATTTTAAGAAATAAATGACTTAAATGGTTTATTTAATGATAAGACTATCTTCGCAATAAAAAGCTTTATAACTTTTTTCCGCGGAATGACTCGAATTATTATAATTTAGATCAATAGTACACGAAATAAAATAAGCAATAAAATAATTTTTTTTTATTTTTTAGTTAAATCACTTTCATAATTACTAGTATACATATATATATTATCAGTTGCGGAATAGATTTTAGAGAGACTTATAGACAGACGGTACCGCGAGTGGTGGCTAAGGCTACGGTCTTCTCGTCAGGTGATATCGCCACACGTGTAACCACACCCTCGGGTAAAAGACAAACGTTAATAAATATGCCAATCGCACAGCGTAGAGTCATAATATGTTATTTGTTCAATCAACATTTGACTAAAACCTACATTTCTGATTATATACTGAAAAAATTATGAATAAAAACTTAACGTAATTGCAACTGAAGGATTATAATTATTTACC